AGAATACAGACTGAGCTGCCATGGCAACGCCAACGACCAGAGAGCGATTCGGCTTTTGATGCTCGGAGAAGAACAACGATGGTTTTCACGTGTTGAATAAAAGTGAGTCCATCTGGAGGTTAGAAGGCGCTGATCCACACAAAGAAAATACCTCAGTCAAGTATAATATATATATATATATATATATATATGCACACAGTGTAAGTATGTACAGTATCTCACCAAAGTGAGTCACACCTCACGTTTGCTCACTACTTTACACTGTTATACAAGCTGCGCGCTCACTACTTTACACTGTTATACAAGCTGCACGCTCACTACTTTACGCTGTTATACAAGCTGCGCGCTCACTACTTTACGCTGTTATACAAGCTGCGCGCTCACTACTTTACGCTGTTATACAAGCTGCGCGCTCACTACTTTACGCTGTTATACAAGCTGCGCGCTCACTACTTTACGCTGTTATACAAGCTGCGCGCTCACTACTTTACGCTGTTATACAAGCTGCGCGCTCACTACTTTACGCTGTTATACAAGCTGCACGCTCCCTACTTTACGCTGTTATACAAGCTGCACGCTCGCTACTTTACGCTGTTATACAAGCTGCACGCTCGCTACTTTACGCTGTTATACAAGCTGCACGCTCGCTACTTTACACTGTTGTACAAGCTGCACGCTCGCTACTTTACGCTGTTATACAAGCTGCACGCTCACTACTTTACGCTGTTATACAAGCTGCACGCTCGCTACTTTACACTGTTATACAAGCTGCACGCTCGCTACTTTACACTGTTATACAAGCTGCACGCTCACTACTTTACGCTGTTATACAAGCTGCACGCTCACTACTTTACACTGTTATACAAGCTGCACGCTCACTACTTTACACTGTTATACAAGCTGCACGCTCACTACTTTACGCTGTTATACAAGCTGCACGCTCACTACTTTACACTGTTACAAGCTGCACGCTCACTACTTTACACTGTTATACAAGCTGCACGCTCACTTACATTTATATTGGAGCAAAGAGTCATTTCTTCAGTGTTGAAACATGAAAAGATAGAATCAGATGAAATATTTCACTTTCTGTGGAATGATTCTAGAATATATGGAGGTTTCACTGTTTGACTTGAACTACGGAAAGAAATGAACTTTTCCGGGATCTTCTAATTTTCTGAGATGCACCTATGTGTCTACATATACAGGCCTATGTATATAAACAGAGAGAGAGAGACGTCATGATGAATCAGAACAGTGAAGCAGGGCTTCGTCCAATCACATTGTTTACAGCCTTTAATAGTTCAGCTCACAAACTCAGTGACGATGTTTATTGTAACAACATCTGTAAAATATCACAGTCTGATATTCATAAATTAATCAGACTCACAGAAAGATTCACTTTTTCTACAGCTTTCTACTTGGATCAGCCAGAACATTACGACCACCTGCGGGTCGCGACACAGGCCTCCCTGACCCGTCTCCGTGGACTTTACACTTTTAATAGCACATAAAGAAGAGCAGGACCTGTGATCAGGTGTGTAAGGACCTGGGGGGGAGGGGCACCTGTCTACCTGTCAGCAGCTGTACTTTTATCTTCACATGACTGAACTTCAAACAAGTGACCCCACACCGCATCAATGGCCCCTCTATTATGCAGGGGCCCCTTCGCCGACCCCACAGCAGGATGAGGGAACACCTACTCTCTTCATCTACCTGTCTGTCTGAAGCTACAGGTAGATCACAGGTGCAACATGGTGAAACAAGAGAAGAAGAGAAAGAATCAAAGAAGAATCCAGAGAAGCGGTTTCACGGCTTCGCTTCGTCATAGACTTCATCCAGACCAGATGTTTCATTCTCCAACAGAGAGCAGGAATTTATTCTTTCATGAAAACACATTTAATCCTCTGAGACAACTGGTGAATATAAAAACATAAATTCAGTTCCAGGACATTTTGGGACCGTCTGTGTGGTCGCTCTGTGTTTTTTGTCTTCGTTGTGTCTCTGAAGGAAAATGTCCTCAGATGTCCTCAGAGAGAAATGGACATCAGGATTTGTTGGACGCAGCCTCACGTTTCCTCTGAGCTCTGCAGCCATCAGGGCGCCCCGCTGTTAAACCACAGACGGTACAAAAGAAGTGGGCGCCGTGACGTCACCCGTTGGGTTGTGGACCGCCGTTCTGAAGCCTCCAGTTTGGAATTTAGTCGTCACCATCTTGACTTTTTGGAACCAACTGGACCATATTTGGACGAGAGGGTGGAGCTAGCTAGCTTGGTTAGCAAGGTTTAACTGGGATGTTAGCTGGGATGCTAATTTTAGCTAGTGACAAACAGGCTTAAAATAAAACGCACTCACTGAAAAATGAGCAGCCGACTCCTGATGAGCTTTTTCAGCAGCGCTGGTTAAATGTACACAGAGCAGCGGATACAAGTCGCCTCTATCCTGATTGACAGCTTGTCAGTCAGCTTGTAGCCCCGCCCTAAAGCTGGTCTCTGTTCCTCTAAATGGGACCATAATTACTAAATGAACATCATGCTGTGTTGAAGAAGACTTGAAACTAGCGACTGAGACCACAAACTCATCAGGAAAGTGTTTACTGAGGGAATAAATCAGCTGACAAGTAGAAACATTTTCTCAGAGACTTCTATACAATCACACTTCTTTCTGAAACCAGGGGAGTCGCCCCCTGCTGGCTGCTGGAGAGGACGCAGGTTTAAGTCGCCCCCTGCTGGCTGCTGGAGAGGACGCAGCTTTAAGTCGCCCCCTGCTGGCTGCTGGAGAGGACGCAGGTTTAAGGCGCCCCCTGCTGGCTGCTGGAGAGGACGCAGGTTTAAGGCGCCCCCTGCTGGCTGTTAGAGAGGACGCAGGTTTAAGGCGCCCCCTGCTGGCTGCTGGAGAGGACGCAGGTTTAAGTCGCCCCCTGCTGGCTGCTAGAGAGGACGCAGGTTTAAGGCGCCCCCTGCTGGCTGCTAGAGAGGACGCAGGTTTAAGGCGCCCCCTGCTGGCAGCTAGAGAGGACGCAGGTTTAAGTCGCCCCCTGCTGGCTGCTAGAGAGGACGCAGGTTTAAGTCGCCCCCTGCTGGCTGCTAGAGAGGACGCAGGTTTAAGGCGCCCCCTGCTGGCTGCTGGAGAGGACGCAGGTTTAAGTCGCCCCCTGCTGGCTGCTAGAGAGGACGCAGGTTTAAGTCGCCCCCTGCTGGCTGCTGGAGAGGACGCAGGTTTAAGTCGCCCCCTGCTGGCTGCTGGAGAGGACGCAGCTTTAAGTCGCCCCCTGCTGGCTGCTGGAGAGGACGCAGCTTTAAGTCGCCCCCTGCTGGCTGCTAGAGAGGACGCAGGTTTAAGTCGCCCCCTGCTGGCTGCTAGAGAGGACGCAGGTTTAAGTCGCCCCCTGCTGGCTGCTAGAGAGGACGCAGGTTTAAGGCGCCCCCTGCTGGCTGCTGGAGAGGACGCAGGTTTAAGTCGCCCCCTGCTGGCTGCTAGAGAGGACGCAGGTTTAAGTCGCCCCCTGCTGGCTGCTAGAGAGGACGCAGGTTTAAGTCGCCCCCTGCTGGCTGCTGGAGAGGACGCAGGTTTAAGTCGCCCCCTGCTGGCTGCTGGAGAGGACGCAGCTTTAAGTCGCCCCCTGCTGGCTGCTGGAGGACGCAGCTTTAAGTCGCCCCCTGCTGGCTGCTAGAGAGGACGCAGGTTTAAGTCGCCCCCTGCTGGCTGCTGGAGAGGACGCAGCTTTAAGTCGCCCCCTGCTGGCTGTTAGAGAGGACGCAGGTTTAAGGCGCCCCCTGCTGGCTGCTGGAGAGGACGCAGGTTTAAGGCCCCCTGCTGGCTGCTAGAGAGGACGCAGGTTTAAGGCGCCCCCTGCTGGCTGTTAGAGAGGACGCAGGTTTAAGGCGCCCCCTGCTGGCTGCTGGAGAGGACGCAGGTTTAAGTCGCCCCCTGCTGGCTGCTAGAGAGGACGCAGGTTTAAGGCGCCCCCTGCTGGCTGCTAGAGAGGACGCAGGTTTAAGGCGCCCCCTGCTGGCTGCTAGAGAGGACGCAGGTTTAAGTCGCCCCCTGCTGGCTGCTAGAGAGGACGCAGGTTTAAGTCGCCCCCTGCTGGCTGCTAGAGAGGACGCAGGTTTAAGTCGCCCCCTGCTGGCTGCTGGAGAGGACGCAGGTTTAAGTCGCCCCCTGCTGGCTGCTGGAGAGGACGCAGGTTTAAGTCGCCCCCTGCTGGCTGCTGGAGAGGACGCAGGTTTAAGGCGCCCCCTGCTGGCAGCTAGAGAGGACGTAGGTTTAAGGCGCCCCCTGCTGGCAGCTAGAGAGGACGCAGGTTTAAGGCGCCCCCTGCTGGCTGCTGGAGAGGACGCAGGTTTAAGTCGCCCCCTGCTGGCTGCTGGAGGGGACGCAGGTTTAAGTCGCCCCCTGCTGGCTGCTGGAGAGGACGCAGGTTTAAGTCGCCCCCTGCTGGCTGCTAGAGAGGACGCAGGTTTAAGTCGCCCCCTGCTGGCTGCTGGAGAGGACGCAGGTTTAAGTCGCCCCCTGCTGGCCGCTAGAGAGGACGCAGGTTTAAGTCGCCCCCTGCTGGCTGCTGGAGAGGACGCAGGTTTAAGTCGCCCCTGCTGGCTGCTGGAGAGGACGCAGGTTTAAGGGTTCAGCTTTCAGACCCGGAGGATCCTGTTTGAGTGGACGAGAGGAATTTAAAAGACATGAGGTGAAAATGTGTTTGAAATAAGCGAGTGGTGTTTTCTCTTCAACCCTCAGGGGCCACAGATGTTTGATGCTCAGAGCTTCTTTCACTGACGTGTCAGCAGATTGTTGACGGTTTGATGTTTTCTGGCTTTCCATGTTTAACACGGAGCAGCTTGGCGTGCTGGTTTGTGTCAGAGCGCTTTCCTTTAAATTATGTCCACATGTTCGTCAGCTCAGCTATACAAGCTCATTTCTGCCTTTTCCCACTGTTTCTAAAATGTCTTTAATCTCACCTGACCGTGACATCATATCCAATAGGAAAACAGCTGACCTACCTGCAGGAAGCTGCACGTCACATGATCCCCGAACATAGGCAGACTGGGCCGGCTCTCGCGGTACACGTGGACGGTGTAGATGGTCATGACGGCAGGCTCCGTCTCAGCGCCGTCCGTCACCAGGATGCTGATCCTGCTGTTGCCAAGGCCGACCGGGTAGTTTGCCATCCTGAAGAATAAGAACCTTTAGTAATGTGGACTTTGGGCTCAGAAGTCAGAAGTCAGGGGTCCTGGTCTCACCTGGGGCCTCGGTGCTCATCCAGGTGAACCCGACAGGCTGAACTGACAGGCTCCGGCCGGATTCGAATTGTCACCGTGTCAAAGGTCACCTCGGCACGATACTCTCTCACCTCGGGGCTGAAGGACGGGGTCAGAGTGAGGGGGGGGTCAGTGTAGATCTGTCTGAGGTGGGAGTCCGAACAGGGGCCTGAAAAACAAACACCTGTTAAAGGTCCAGGGTGTAATATTTAATCACTGTGTGTTCAGTGGTGTGTACAGACCTGACATAATAAACCGTTTTTTTTTATTACCTTAGAATGAGACATTTCTATCTACAGACACCGCCGCTGCTCTTACATGGACGTCACCATGTTGCACCACCATGTTTCTACTGTAGTCCGAACGGACAAACTGCTCTACAGAGCGTGCTTCATCACTACGTTGAATACATACAAAACGCTGTGTCTCCAGCTGTTTTACATATTGACAAGTTGTGTTAACGATGTCTCACCTTCAGCCTCGTCCTGTAGAGACGCCAGAGCTGACTCCTGATTGGTCAGTTTTTCTGTCTCATCAGTTCTGCAGGAAACATGAAAAACACCACTTACAACAGCAATAACTACAAAACAACAGCATCAGCAAAAACAACTACAACAGCAGCAACAGCAACAACTAAAACACCAGCAACAACAACAGCAGAAAAAGCAACAACTACAACACCAGCAACAACTACAAAAGCAGCAAAAGCAACAACTACAACACCAACACAACTACAACAACTGCAGCAGCAGCAACTACAACAACAACAACTACAACAACTGCAGCAGCAGCAGTAACTACTCACAACAACAGCAGCAGGAGCACTACAACAACAACAACAACAACTACAACAACTGCAGCAGCAGCAGTAACTACATCAACAACCACAGCAACTACTACAACAGCAGCAGCAACAACAACTACAACAACAGCAGCAGCAGCAGTAACAAAATCAACAACAACAGCAACTACTACGACAGCAGCAGCAACAACAGCTACAACAGCAACAACTACAACAGCAGCAACAGCAACGACAACAGCAGCAGCAGCAACAAAAACTACAACAACAATGAAAACAGCAGCAGTAACAACAACTACAACAACAGCAGCAGCAGTAACAAAATCAACAACAACAGCAACTACTACGACAGCAGCAGCAGCAGCAGCAGCACAGCAACAACTACAACAACAACAGAAGCAATAACAACAACTACAACAGCAACGACAACAGCAGCAGCAGCAGCAGCAACAACTACAACAACTACAACAACAGCAGCAACAGCAACAACTACAGCAACAACAGAAGCAGCAGCAACAACAACTACACAACAACAGAAGCAACAGCAACAACAACAACAGAAGCAGCAGCAACAACAACTACAACAACAATGACAACAGCAGCAGTAACAACACTACAACAACAGCAGCAGCAGCATAACAAAATCACAACAGCAACTACTACAACAGCAGCAGCAGCAACAACTAAAACAACAGAAGCAGCAACAGCAACAACTACAACAACAACAGAAGCAGCAACAGCAACAACTACAACAACAACAGAAGCAATAACAACAACTACAACAGCAACGACAACAGCAGCAGCAGCAGCAACAACTACAACAACTACACAACAGCAGCAACAACTACAGCAACAACAGAAGCAGCAGCAACAACAACTACAACAACAACAGAAGCAACAGCAACAA